TTCATGTATTTTATTTTTTTAACTGTTAGTTGAGCCATCATTTACTGGGCACCTGCCCCGAGTGAGTAAAGCAGCAAGGTGGGTCTATAAAACTGTTGGTACTTTTTTGATTCATACAGTGCATATCTGTGATTATGAACACAGGAGGCTTTTTGGATGAACTCAGCTCTAACAAGCGGCTGCATGGAACAGAGCGTTCACTTCTTTTTGCCACTTCTCTGAAAGCTGCTGCCCTCAGGGGCTTCAGTGTTTCAAAACATTGTAACTACAGCAGTCAGATGACGTGAGGTTCCTCTGGCTTTTATGTTGATTCTGTTCTAATGGCTTCTATTTTTAGTGCCTCGCATGCAGAGGCAATTCATTGCTCGAAAGGTGCTGTAAAAAGCCCAGGGACGCTGGACGCTAAAAATAGCTCATACTCTGTGTGTGTGATTAAACATATTATCTCCATCCAAGGAGAGGGAGGGAGGAACGTGCAGGAACTTCAGCCTGAACGTATTCATGTGATCTGGCAGCTTTTTCCTTCGTTCTAAAAATACACCGACCAGTCATTTATCAGTTCTGCTTCAATTTAAAAACCCTGTCTTGGCTTCTCTGTGTTTTGTCCTACATTGCTTTCACATTCTTACTGTATTTTCTCACTGGACTCAAATCTGTTGGCACAAACTGAAGCTCCTCTTCTCTCCACTACAACAGGACATGTGCTTCATTTAACAGATGTCAGGTAAAACATGTCAACCTGACACAAAACCAAAACGACCAGAAGTGATTTTAAGGCCATAAAAGATGATAGTACTAGTTTGCCACGTGTTTGAATTGGCATCTTTTTTAGGGGCACTTCACCAATTTGACAGACAGAAATTACCCCATGAGTCCTCAGCAGGGTGCCGCCTGTGAAAGACCTGCATCTGAGGATGAGTTCTGCAGGTGCTTTATCAAGTCTAATAAGTCTTTCAACGTTTAAAGGTCCTGGATGTTTACCAGCTCGAGGGGACCTAACAAGCATCACCAGATTTCCTTATGAGAAGTGTAGATTTAGAACTTCACTCACATGTCAGGATATCTTGACCTGAGCTGCATAAAAGTTTACATCCATCCATTATCTATACACCGCTTAATCCTCACGAGGGTCACGGGGGGCTGGAGTCTACCCCAGCTGATGTGGGGCGTAACCAGTCTATCACAGGGCTACACTTAGAGACAGACAACCAAGCACACTCACATTCACACCTACGGACAATTTAGAATCACCAATTAACCTCAACATGTTTTTGGACCTTGTGGGAGGAAGCCAGAGAACCCGGAGAGAACCCACGAGGAGAACATGCAAACTCCACGCAGAAAGATTCCGGTGCCCCCACCGGGACACGAACCAGCGACCTTCTTGCTGCGAGCAACAGTGCTACCAACTGCGCCACCCTGCAGCCACACTCATCATTCTTTACAAAAATGCATTTTCACCTCCAACTAAAGTCAGTCTGAGGCTCCAGGAGTCACACATGATTACATCAAGTGGACACCTTCCTAACTTACTGTCCTTATCGTGCAAGATCCTGTTTGTGTTTTTCCAACAGTGTTGCGTTGTTGAGCTACAGCAGAGACACACAGATACAAAAACGGAAATTTATACTAGAGAGAGTAACTGTGGAAGATATATTTACATGTACTTAGTCCATCTGATGAAGCCTCAGTAGCATTGGATGAACTTGGTAACACTGCAGTCAGTACAGCTGGAGGGAGCAATTACAGCAGACCTATCCTTCAGTCTTACTGGCACATTCTCAGACTCTACGGAAGCTGTAATATTACATTTCTGGAGCATCTTTCAATGTCCAGCTCGCATCTGGCAACTGCTGATGATCAGAAAGAAAGAAGGGAAAAGAAGTTCTGATCCCTCAGCATAAATCTAAATGATCAGTATTTTGTGGTTCTCTACAAAATGTAGCGTCATCAGTGGTGTTACTGGTGATTTCATGAGTCAACTTGTGCATGAGTTGATGCTCAAAGCGGTCTTAAGGTCACGTTTGTTTCTGCTAAATATCTGGGTTCACAGGTTTTGACTAAAGGCTGTAATGGCTGTTCCTAATGCTTAATAGATAAATAAAGGCCAAGAAAGAACTGCTAAACTGTAGATGAACTGAACAGCTGAACAAGTTTGCTGCAACCAGGAAGCGCAGGTTTATTAATGTATAATAACTGATTTGCGATGTGTTAGTGAACGATTTATAAACCATAAAAAAGTCATTAAGTACAACTTAGAAGGCCGTTTTGAAGGATGATTGGAAAATGGTACCCAAGTGCCTCAAAAGCCACAGCTGGGTTGTTCTATTTCAGTATTTCAGACACATTATTTGGTTTTAAAGTAACACTGAGAGTTAAGCTCTTGGTCTCTTTCCCTGCCTCCTGTTCATACACACCAGTCGACACATCCTGTCACTGACTCTCCTCTGGCCCTGAGAACTGCTGCTTACACAGTGTTGCCCGGCAAAGAATGGGACAAATCATGCATACAGCGGTGGGGATCGACAGTCCGTCAGTCAGTCCGTTTTACAGACAGACACACACACACATGCATAAACAAACACACACTCTCCAGTCTGAGTGCCAGTGATAACATAGCTCAGCGGACCCATCTCCTCATTTCCCGTGTCCTCGGCCAGAGTTGGTTCTGGCACCGCAGCTTCCGCTAGCAGCTCCAGCCAGAGACATGAGAGCAGGACTGCATCCGCTCGGAGGTGTGTGACCGCGTCGTCTCCTCTCTGTTCCCACAACCCAGCATGCCCTGCTGCCTGGCACAGAGACACACAGCGGCGTTCAGGAGTGAACCAACAAACCAGGTGAATGTGCAAACCTCTGTCTCTTCCATCCACTGGCCTGAAACAGAGCACGCTCCAGCAGGAGACAGTATCTCTCGTGTCCGTTCTCCATGTGTCCTCGCAAGACCTCAGCGGAGCGAGAGGTCAAACGGTCGGCACACGTCAATACCTCTATTTCTAATGTCTAAAGAGAAGATCAATGTTATTGATCCAAAGCAGTGTTCCTCAGACGCACTGTAAAGGTTCGCCCAGAAAGAAAACCACAAAAAAAACTTCTGACATTTACACCAGCCTCTGCTCCCCAGGAGGATTTTCTCCAGAGGGAATAAACCACTGACAACAGCAGACAGACCTGCAGGAGGACAAGGCAAGAACAAGAGTATCAGAAACAGACTGTAAAAACAACACCAAACACACAAGCAAAGACGTCCCACTGCTCGTCTACAGCCAAGAAAAGTTCTCAGAGTGTGTTTAATGCATTGATAAGACTGAACTGCAACTGTCAGGATTGGCTGCACGCCCTAACAGTCACCATGGAGGTGGGTCTGCCCTGTTGAAGCCATTTTGAAGAAGAATGTGACACCAACAGAGCATAAATTAGAGCTCTGTAATTACTGTGCTTTCCAGCGAGACAGTGAACCAACCCAAGGCTGGCTGAGAAATCATTCCCGGAGTGTCCTGGATTCACCGTCCCTGGATTTGAATCGCATCGAAAAAATCTTAGGTGGGACTGAAAGAGTCATGGTGTCACAGTAAACAAAGCACGTTAGCGAGCAGGAAGACTTTGCATATGAGGGGAAGAGATAAAATATAAAAAGAGAAAACTTGAGGAACTACCAGAGACACTGAGTGAGAATCATGTTAAAGAAAATAGCTTGACAAAAGCACCTGAAGAGATAAAACTGCCAAGGATGGAGAAGTTTGTTTCATTAATTATCAATCAATCAATCACTTTATTTATATAGCACATTTTCAAAACCACAGGGGTAGCCAAAGTTAGACGAGGTATATGTGGTGGAGGGATTGTTTTTTTTCCTTTAAGGAGAGGCGCTGCTTGAGAGTCTGGATATTGACTTTGGATGAGACATAATTTTGCATATGGGCCTCTCTACAGAATATCATTTATATTATTATCTCAAATAAGCATTAAATTTACTTTATGTACTAAGAGTTTAACTCATTTTAATTAAATTTTATCCGATTCACATTACAGAATGTCTTCAGATTACAGGGTTCAATAAGCCGGATTGCATCTGTAATCAGATTTCTAAGTAAAAAGTGAAGATGCAGGACAGAGTGCACACCACGCCGGCTACAAAGCCCTCCTTACATTTACCATCTCTCCCTTCTGTGTTGTCCAAATAAAGGCAAACATGCCCCAAAAATGTACTTTAACAAAATACATGTGAACAAAATTTTTTCTCCACATCATATCGTTGTTCATTTCCATTATCTAGTAGAAATAATCACATAAAGACATGTTACATCAACCAGCAGATATGGAAAAGTGTTCTATCAAAGGAGGATGAAACACAAGATGGAAATCGAATCCAGTTTGGATATCAATAGTCGCCGGGAGATGCAAACAAGGGTCATTTTCAGTGATTGAAATGTCTAAAGCTGAGGACCACTCTTAGTCCATTATGTGAATATTACTTACAGCAGTGACTGATACCAAAACCAAGCCGCTTTAATACCACACAACCTAATAAAGCCAGAAACAGAATCACCATACGGCTACACGCTCCATCAAAAGGAAATGAGTTTGTTCCCTCATTGTCTCCTGCAAAATTGAACATTACTTGCTTGTGTCCTTTATGAGCAAATTCTAATTATGTGTGCTTTGAAGTTTGCGTATGAATCAAGTTCTGCATTATTAAAAAGCTGCCTACACATTTGCCTGAGCTAAATGAATGCTTTTCACTTTGCAACAGTTTTCTAGTTTACGTGGCCTTAAGAATGGAATAAAATAGTCACGGCAGATAGTTCATTCTTTCCACTGACGGATTAAAGTTACTGTGTCTGAAGCGTGAAACTGCCAACGACAAAGCCAAACGCCTTCCCTACACGCAGCTCAGGTTCTCCACCGTGTGGCGGCAGAATGTAAATACAACCTCTGCTGATCGTACTTTCTGGAACTTTTTAAAGGTCAAATAACAAGAAAGACAAGACAGAGATCACAAATGTAAGAAGCAGATAAAAAAAGGTTTACTAAAAAAGCTGTTATGCATCATTTACTATTTACAGTGATCACAAACATTGATCGATGCCTAAATAACAACAGAAACATCCTATCAAAACATCTAGAAAATATAAAAACTGAGCAGAAAGTCTTAGCTGCCATTAGTATTCAGGTGATATGTTACAGGCCTAACAGGTGGGGGAAGCGTAGGGAGGCGCCACTACGTAGATATTACTAACACACAAACCAGCACAGGGAAAGTACAAAAGAAAATAAAGTCCAGGAAGTCAGTGGCAACGACACAAAGAAACTGATGACAAAAATACAAAGTGGTGAAGATGAGACAGACGAGTGAACACATACGGCTGGTTTACATTCAGAGGCATGAAAATGTTGGATTAAAAACAGTGCTACGGAGAAGATCAGCACTCGGACAGCAACCCACTCCTCTTTAACCTGCCTCAGCACATTACTGGCTTACTGATTTATGTTGTCATGACTATCAACCCACAATGAGAACAGGTAGAGGCTTTTCAAGTCCTCGAGGAAAGTGGCTTACCCAGAAATGACGCACAGCCTCACAAAGAAAAGGTGCATTCTAAGTGTTGAAGACTATCAGGTGGGATTTTAGTTTTCAAATAAATGTCTTTTTCTTTTTCTTTTTTTTTTAAACATGGAGTGTTAATATCTGTTAATATCTACGGTGTGCTTGTGTACATTTGTATGTGCAAGACTGAGTGTGTAAATTGATCTACTGGACTTGACAGTTGTCTCCTTGTTGTGTTTGCTGTCCGACAAGTTGTTTCTCTTTCTGCTCTGGTGTCCTCAGTAGACTCCGTGAACGGTGTCCAGGTTTCTCCCCGCCACTCGGGGAAAGACGCTTCTTGCTGGAGCCGTCTGTTGGCGGACCAGTGGAGGGACTCTGGAGAGAAATGGGCCCCAAAACCTGTGAAGAGAGAACAAGCTAATAGATGAGAGAGAACAAGTGAGGAAAACACAGCAAAGTGTGGGGGGACAATTGTCAATAAAGTCGTAAATTAACGATGTAACGTTCTTAAAGCCGACACTTGTAAAGACAGGCAGCCGTACAGCTGAGGTTTAGTCAGACAGGGAACATTCTTTCCTCTTTACCTCTATGACCTGAAACCTCTACATCCTCTAAACCCATCACTGCTTCACTGACCTGGAGTGACCCAGCGGTGGGAGGGGGTCCGGATAGCCTGTGGACACATTAGGGGCCGGGCAATCTAAACTATTACATACATGTCGACCGTGATGGTTGGCGGAAGTTATTGATTCTCCTACTCATAAAGTCTCTGTTCAGCCACCTGAAAAAGCTGCTGGACGTCCTTCAGGTGACCTCAAAGACACAGGGTCCGCTTTCTATTTCAATAAGTTAAGACCTTTTGTCTGTTGCTTAGCAATACTACTAATAATGTCCCTTTAGAAGTAGTAGTTCTGGTGACAACTTTGAGCAGCTGATAAAACTCAAAATAAAAATCTAATTAAAAAAATCTGACTTCTGAGAAATGCGGAACAGCACTGCTTCTCCCAATGCATAAATATCTAAAACATTCTGAATACATGGTGACTAATACCAGTTGTAACACCAACAGTCGGTGCACAGATAAGGAATGTGAGAAGGGAGTGTGGCAGACGGACGTGCCAGACATCACTGCTACAGAAACACTGGCAGCTCATTTAGATCTGCTCACTCCTTTTTCTGCTCTGCGCTAAGAACCAGACTTCACTGTTTACAACACATCGAGAGATGTTGTGGAATTCTGGAAGAGGTTGATGTAGGATGAGGAGCCCGACACAGAGAGACACACCGGATACTCAGGTGATTTAGGTTGAAATGAGGTTTACTGATCAGGAGACGTGACACTAACAGAACAGCAGTACTGCCAGCATCAATTCTGAGGATTTCTCTCACAATTCGGTCCTATAACGTCCTTTGGCAGGAACCACATCTAGGTGTAATCTGGCCTTGAGAGGTACAGAGAGTGCTTGCCTTTCCTCCTACAATAGATCTACATGAGATCAAGAATCTATAGAAGATTTGCAGATTAGTACAAGTACTGCTTTTACATGAGGGGTTCAATCAGAGGAGCTAAGGGGAAAAGTTCAGCACCGTCTGTAGAAGCTTAACTCCAAGACAGGAAAGCAATTTTTCCTTCACAAGAGAGAGTACAAAACAATGTGTCTGTAGAGTTTTTTTGTTTTGTTTTTTTTTTTTTTTTGAACTGGCTTTTGGGGAAAAGCTTCTCAAGCAGAGTTCTGTACTGTGTAGAAGAAAGCAGGAGATGCTGTGTTGCTCACCTTGCCATCAGGTGCAGATGTGAGAGGAGTCTGTCTGGCAGCCAGCCGGGGACTGCAGCGCTTTGCTGTGGTTCTTCTCATGATGAATGGACTGGCCTCCCCCAGGGGAATATCAGCAAACCCTGAGGGACAAAGCATGACGTTTTTTCTTACAGAGAATGAAACTTACAAATAAAGATCTGGTGCTTTGTTCATGAACTACTATCCCACCTAGTCAGTTATTAGTTTTGCACATTTGCACCTGAGCTTAGCCAGCTCATGTTACACACCCATCCATGTCTCAAGCTCATAAACCTGCCACTGGCTTTCTGCTCGTCTTTCGTAATTAAAGTGTTGATTTTTTTTATTCCTGTTCAGGAAACAAAAACAACTTCCAGGCAGCAACTGGCCACTCCTACAATTTCAGGCTTTGCCAAAGATTTGGATTGTGCAGCAGCCCTGCTAGTTTTTCTCAGTAAAGTTGTTATTTTAGTGACAATGCTCACATCCCTGTGTGCTGAAGTTTCACCAAAACAATTCCCGTCCCTGTTTTGAGGGGGCACTGTTGCTGCATCCTTTGCTTAGCACCGTCCAATATGATGGTGTGTGATTGGTTCAAAGAATGACAAACAAGCCAGAACATTTTGTCCCTAAACAAGAATGATAATGAGGTGCAGCCAGATCATTCTGGGCTGGTTATACAAGGCTAGTTAAAATCTAAAGAGAGAGCTGTGGCGTCTGGAGTCATACTGTAGTAAAGTATAGCCTGCTATTGATTCATTTCTTGTAAGTATTAACATGTTCTCTACACCTCCGTTCAAAGCTAGTTAAGCTGATAGAAGTAAAAATCACACTAGAAACCAACCTGCATGTGTTCCAGATGTTGGTGAACCTGTGATAGTGTTACGTTGGGATATCACTCAACACTCACCTTTCTGTACCAGCTCAGGAAGCCCCTCTGGCCTGAACTCTTCATCGTCCTGTTCAGCTTTTGGTTTGGGTGTCGTCATGGCGTTAGCTTTGATCTTCTTTGTCAGGTTGTGCAGGGCCTCCTGGGCGCTGTCTTTGTCACTGATGTCACGGTGACCTCGTTTCCCTGAGGAGCCCTGAGGAGACCTCTGAGGAGCCACGTTCTCTGTGTTGTTGGGGGAGGACTTCCTTCCTGAGCGCCGGCGGCTGTCGGTGCTGCTGGAGAGGCTGTTGGCTTCATCAGTACGCTGACCAGCAGTAATCTGTTCCAGTCGTGTGTTCAGTGCGTCATTGGTCTCCTCCAGTTTGTGGACTTGAACCATCAGGCTGCAGTATTTATCCATGCTGTCATCAGCCTCTTTACTTTTCTCCTCCAGAAGGTTGTTCAGTTCATCCAGCTCGCTCTTTATTTCCTCCAGTTTCCTCTCCTTCTCCTCCATTTCCTTCTTCTGTCCATCGAGGGCGGCCTTAAGGTCCTTCAGCTCCTTGTTGTTCTCTTGTGACTCCATCAGTCTTTCTTCAGCCTCTGTCGTCTTCTTCTCCAGGGCTTTCTTCAGGTCTTCTGCGTCTTTCTTTCTCTCCTCTGCCTCCATCCTCAGCTGGGTCACTTCAGCCTGGACCTCCTCACTACCCTTTCCTCCTGAAACATAAATGTGGCCCAAGTCAAAAGATGATTCAACTGGACTTTCTGGAGAAAAGGGAAATCTCTGAAAAAAATTTAAATATGGTGCCTTCCTTCTTGTGAATTCCTTCACAAGAAACAAACTGCAAATTTCACTTGGAAACTGGATTTTACAACGATTACTTGCGTGCACACCTGAGCTGTTTAACATCATTTGCTTCTCCTGCTCCAGCTGTTTGCAGGACTTCATCCAAAGACTCATCTTGCTCAGGGCAGAGTCTCTCTCTTTAGACAGACGAGCAGCACGAGACGTCAACTCAGATACCTGGAGGGGACAGACAGAGTGAAGTGGAATTAAAAGAGAGAACAGTTTCATATGGATCATCAGTAGCTTACCACCTATCATCATACAAAGAACAGTCCACAGTTCTCGTATTTTCTAAGTCTCTTTTCATATAAAGGTAAACATTTTAGATTGTAATGTTTCATATGCCAGGTGGCTGGAGCCTGTCTGGATAGACAGGTTTATTGTGTGGAAGCTGGAACTGGCTGTTTGTTTCTTCCATTTCTAAACAGGTGTGAGTCTGTATGCTCATATACCTGTTCGTTGAGCTGTGAGACGGACAGTTTGTTTGTTTCCAATTCCTTCTCAGTGGAGGCGACTGTTGTCTGAAGACTCTCTTGTTCTGCTTTGAGCTTCTCTTTCTCCTCCTCTGCTTGTTGTTTTTCTTGTTCCAGTGAGGAAACAGCTGAAGTCAGCTGCTTTTTCTCTTCTTCGATCAAAGAAAGGGAAGATTGCAGGTGTTGTTTTTCAGCCTCCAACTTCTGTCTCTCCTCCTCTATTATCTCCTTCTCTTGCTTTGATGAAGAAAGATTTTGTTGTAACTCATGTTTCTCCTTTTCTATCAAGGAGAGGCCTGACTGAAGCTTTTCTTTCTCATCTGCCAACACACTTCTCTCCTGATCTAGTCTTTCTTTCTCCTCCTCTACAGATGCCAGAGTGCAGCGAAGGTTATCTCCCTCTTGCTGTAATGATAACAGGGTGGAGTGCAGTTTCTCTTTTTCCTCCATCAGCTGTTTGTTTTCTCTTTCTATCTGTTCTTTCTCTGCCATAAGAGATGAGATTGACTGTACTGAGGCTTGTCTCTGATCAGCCTCATTCTCCCTCTCCTTTTCCAAAACATCTCTCTCTTCCTCTTTAGCTTTTATGAGTGTTTTAAGCTCCTGAATTTCCTCTTCCAGTGCCGCAATATGAGTGCTCAGATTGTTTCTTTCCTTCTCCCACTCCTCTCCCTGAGATTGAAGCCTCCCTGCCTCTGTCTGCAACTCCTGCAGAGAACTCAGCAGATGTTGTTTCTCCTTCTCCAACTCTACTAACAGAGACTGCATCCTGTCTTTCTCCTCTTCTTTTTCAGCAAGCTTTTGTTCAAGCAAAGTCTCTCTTTGCCGAGAGGCTTCCAGCTGTGCTTGGAGGTCATCGACTCGTTTTATTTGTCTCTCTGTTTCCTCTCTCATCCCTTTCTCCAGCTCTTCGACCATGTATTTCTGTTTTTCCTCCTCCTCTCTTCGGTCTACCTCTGCCTTCTCCAATCCTCTCTCCAGCTCCTCTTTAGCTGCTTTTAACTCCTCTATCTCTCTGTTTTTTGTTTCCAGCTCTCTCTCCATGTGTTCTTTCTCAGATCTCAGGTTGTCCAGTGTGGCAGAGAGCTCTGATAGTTTCTCACTAAGCTCTTTCTTTTCTTCCTCTACCTGAGGATCCGGATGTAGAGGAATGTGGAAAGGCAGCAGCAGAGAGACGAGCCAAGGATGGGGGAGAAAATAAAGGTGGAAAGGAAAGAATAAGCATGAGAGAAAGGGAGATAAAGTTTGATTAATATTTTGCTTGGTTTACAACAAATGTCATGTTTTACTTTTAGAAAAAAAGCATCCGAGACACAGCAATAGTCAATCTGATTAGTCTTAAGGTACCTTTCTCCTTTCCTCCTCGAGCTCATCTTTGGCTGTTTCAGCCTGTGGAAGAGAAAATCAAATTTAGTTGTAATTCAGTGTAAGAAAGATGCAGCGGTTATTTTTTGACTGAATGTTTGTGCCAGGATACCTGTAGAACAGCATCCTCCAGACTTTGCTCTACATCCTCTTTTTCTCGCTCCAGGGCGTCAATGCGATCTTGCAGTGAGTCAGACTTTCTCTGGGCAGCTACAGAGACACACACAGTCACATTTAGATCAACACCTCACAAAACTCAAGAGGTTATGTCATTTCCACTGGTGTTAAGGGTTACCTTTGAGCAGTTCTCCCATCTTCTTTTTCTTCCTCTCATCTGACTCAATGCGAACCTGGAGCTTTTCAATACCAGTTCTCATCTGCCGAACCTCATCTTGTGTGGAGTTCAGGCGAGAGGCAATCTCTCCTTTTTCTAGCAGAGAGGACTCGAGAGACTGTGAAAGGCGACAAACTTCTCCTTCCAAAGCCTAAAGGGAAAAAAGTAGGAAAGTATAATTTTAAACAGTTCAGATTTGACAGATATTTGGGTGAAATTTTCAGCTTCACTCTTCTTGAAAACTAAACTTTCTGAATGATTCTCTGCTGCTATTCTAAAATCATGAGAAAAAATGTGAAAATGTACGACAATGAGACAGAGAAACACAAAAGCATTGAAAAAACAGCATCTCTGCAGACACCAAACTTAAACATACAACAACCTGCTGAATGTCATACTTCCTCCTCACCTGTATCTTGCCGACCATGGACTCAGTGTTTTGATTAGCGGAGGTGTGGTCTTCTTTTATCTGGTTAAGATGGCCAATAAGCTCCTCTCTTTCTCCACACTGTTGAGAGACTGCCTGCTCCAGGACCTTAACCTGCTCCATAAGCTTTATATGAGAGAAATGGAATTAACTTTTAGTTGAGGAAAACTCTCAACATGAAGAACCAGTAAACAGCATAAACAGATGACATTAAACTCACCTAGTATCTAGAATAGATATATAGACACAGTACAAACCAGGCCTCAGAAAGACACATCTTAGGTTTTGTTCACTTCATGCACCTGCCCCGTTATATTTCAGGTGTTTTGATGCTTTTAAATGAAAGAAAAGCTGATCATGTTGGTACTATGTGAAACTAATGCTATTACTCAGGTATTTATCTCACAGACCAAAACCACATTTCTGTCACCATTCATGTTGCTGCACTCTGAACTGAAAACCAGATCCGACACGTAACCCCGTCTCAGACTGAAGTGAAACTTGTACCTGTTGCCTCTCTGTCTTCAGTTTCTCCATGTTGCTTTGCACGGCTTCGTACTCCTTCCTTCCAGCTCTGATGTCGTCCTCCAGGATGGAAATTAGGTTTCTGGTGTCACCGTTAGTCTTCTCCAGACTATGAACTTTCTCTCTCCACTGGCCCAAAGACTGGCTTAACTCGTCTCGCTCCTCAGAGCACGACACAAGTTCAGATCTCAGCTGGGTGGTCTGGAAAATTAGATTTAGAATGGTTTCTGTGATCAACAAGCTTACAAAACGAAACATGTTCAACAGGTTCTTGCCAAGTTAGTTTTTGCACAGATGAAAACTGAAAGACTTGAGCCTGAGTATTGCTTTCAATACTTTTTCTTCCCCAATACATTAACTTTGCCTTTACACATACAATATTTTACCGTTTTACTTCACAGGCTTTTAACAGAGTACTCACCTCTGTCATTAGTGTTTCTATCTGTTGCTCCATGCCTGAACCAGTCTTCTTCTGGGTCTCCATTTCATCCCTCAGTCTGGTCCTCTCCCCCTGCATGGTCTCCAGCTCTGATTCCATTCCCAGGATGTGCTGCTCCAGGTTGGCTTTCTCAGAGCGAACCCTCTTCAGCTCACTTTCCTGCTGGAGAAACTTCTCGTCCCATCCACCTAACAAACCAAGTAAAATATTTTATCAATATAAAAGTACAACCTTTGACTATATTTACCAAGCGTTTAACAGCTTGTTTCAGACTGAGGTTTAAAATCTGTGATCTCTGATTCATTCTTAGATGCTTAACCCTCTGGGGATGCTTTAATTTACTACCCTTTGAGGATATTAGAGGACAAAAATGTCCCCGATATCCCCAGAGGGTTAAAGGAAAATATTGAATTAAAAACAGATACCTTTAGCCATCTCAAGTCCTTCCAGCATCTCCATAACATCAGTCAGCTGACATTTAGCTGTTTGCAGCTGCAGAGTTAATGTCTCATTCCCCTCCGACAGCTGGGTCAACTAAATATAAGCACAGAGCATTGACATAAACAGCATTAATAATTGCATCATTACACTGGCACTAAAATGGTGTCTGGCATTCTGCCATGTCCTCCTCCTACCTCGTCAGCAAGGCCTTTCTTTGCCTCCAGAGCATTTTTCAGCTGACATGTTGCACCACGTGCCTCCTCCTCTGCAGCCTGAACTTTCTTCTCCAGATTTTGAACTTGAACTTGCAGTTCAGAGTTCAACTCTTTTCTCAGTTCCAGGTCAGAGCTCAGTAGGTTGAACTCTGAGCGCAGGGTCTCAAGTTCATTTTCCTGCTTTGAGATCATCTCCTTGTAATGGTTGAAATCATCATGTACCTGGGATGACTCTGTAACTGATAGAGAGATGTGTGTTTAAATAACTTGACTGAAGCAGAATGCATTCGAATGTGATGCTTGAATTAGCCAACCAAGTGTAATCCTTAAGTCTACAATGTAAAAACAAATAAATAAATAGTATCTCTCTACAAAGTTGTCATTTCTTTGTAAGTATAGTGATAAAAATGTTGAAATCTAAAACTAAAATATGAGCTCAGAGTGGTTCAGTATACATGCCCAAGGAGAAACATACTTTTAGAGGCACCATTTGATCACTCACCAGAGGATTTTGACTCTCTCATCTCAGTCAGGGGTGAAGATTGTGAAGACAGGTCAAAGATTTCAGGCTCATTTTCAGAAACATCTCTGAGACTACAGTTGTCCTCAGAAGCCTGTAACAAAGAAGATGAAAACATCAAGACTAGCACCATCATGAAAGCGAAATAAAATAAAATAAAAATGCTTATGCATTCAATTAAACATATTTTATAACTGTGAATTTAAAATACAGCCTGAATTTAAAACTCTGGAACATGATCAACAATATTTTTTTTAAATGCTTTTGAATAGAAAATTACTACAACAGAAGTTTATAAATAATAATAAGCTACCTGACTACATTATTTGCAAATCAATAACGCTTTCCTGCTCTTCAGGTAACTGCAGGGCAGCATCATAACTGAAAGAAAATACACTAACAATTGTTTTTACCTGCTGAGGAAGATGTTGCTCGTCCTCCCTTATCTCCTCGACAACAGCTGCACTTGTCTCCCTCTCCTCCTCCACTTCCTGGATAATCTCCTGCTCAGTGGTGTCTACCTTGCAGATCAGCTCAGTCTCACTAGCAGGCCAGAAGAGAAGAGATTTTTTTAGATACTCAGCTCAAAGCAGATTGCAACTGCATATTTTTGCTTAGTACAAAATTCATACTACCTGGAAGTCTCATTAAACTGGTGAAAAGGTTCACTCAGTTCAGACGCCACACACTGCTCCTCCACTGGCAGAGACTCTGTACTGGTGCTGATGCTTGTTTCAGTTTCTGACTCGACATCAATCTGTCCTGCAGCTTCAGCTGGGAAAACCATTACAGATAATTAAATATTAATTATATGCATTTAGAGTACATCCACTAATTCATGAAAACTTTACTGTAGCTTCAGTCCACACTCACCACCGCTGTCTGTCTCCTCGGTCTCCATGTGGCTGATCTGTTCTGCAGGGTTCTGGGTTCCCTGTGATTCTGAGAGCTGCTGTATGAGGCTGTGCTGTTGGTCCACCTGTTCCAGCAGTGAATCGTACTGATGCTTGAACACAGTCAGCTCCTTCTGTAAGACCGCCAGCTTGTGGTGCAGCTCGGCCTGTTCTGCCTCAAACTGCTGGTTCCTGTGATACAACATTAAAGCTGTTATCATTTCAGCTACTATTAACCAGACCAGCTAATATAAACCTAAACTTGGAAAACAGACATACCGCTCTTTGTTGTCCTCCTCAGTCCTCTCATCCCTCATCTCAAGCTGCTCCTTCAGCCTCTGACGTTCTTGTTCGGAGGTCAGGAGGGAGCCCTGAATACTCTCGTTCTCCTCTCGAAGAGAAGCCACCTCATTTTCATGCTTCTCTATGCTTCCTTGTAACTGAAGCTTCTCTTCAGTTACTTCATCGACACGAGACTGTAGTTTGATGTTGTCTTCAGACAACTGATTGTAAATAGATTCGAGCTGAAGCTTTTCCTCCACTACTTGATTTAATTTAATCACCAAGTCACTTTTCTCAGAGGTTAATGCGGAGAGTTGATTCTCAAGTTCACTTCTTTCCTCCTTTATCAGATTCAGGGTAACATCAAGCTGGGCTTTCTCCTCAATGACCTGACTAAGGGCCAACTCGGCCTCATGTTTCTCAGCAGTCATTTCATCGATCTTGGCCTCTATTTGCTGCTTTTCTTCAGTTAACTGCTGAACGCTGGTCTGCAGTTGTTTGTTCTCCACAGATAGCTCTTCTAAACTGGCCTCCAGCTGTTTCTTCTCTGCATATATTTGAATATTTTCAGTTTCAACTTGCTGTTTGTCATGCGTTAACTGTTGCAAAGAAGTCTCAAGGTTGTTTTTCTCTTGGAGTAACTGGTTGACACTGTTGTCTTTGTCCTGAGCTATCTGCCTGAGACTTGTCTCTAAGTTGGCATTCTCTTCTGTCATCTGACTAAGTTGAGACTCTAATGTGGCAACCGTCTCTTCCAGCTGGTTTCGTTTGACAGCATCCTCTTCCAGACGACTTACTTCACAGCTCCTCTCAAATAACTCCTCCTTTGCTGTGACATACTTTGTCTCCAGCACAGAGTTCTGGGATTGGACCTCATCCAAGCGGGTTTCCAAGACAGAGACCTGGAAATAGAGCCATTAATTAATGACAACACAGCACTTTAATTATTTTAAAGATGCTTTCTTTCACTTTGTCCCTAGACATAGCTATAAACAAGGAATGAGACAGAGGGCAGGTCAAGGTACAGAGCAGCATGAGCAGGTAGAACAACTAAATAAACCCAGGAGATGTTTTAGACTTTACGTAGATGTGTGGTTGTTTTGAGCGTGGCAGACTTTTGTGTAAGATAGTGGCCGAACCTGGGCTTTGCTTTCCTCCAGCCTGGCCTCCATGTCCGACATCTGGAACTTGTTCTGAGCAAGCTGAGCCTCCAGTGACTCTATAGTTCCCTTTAGCTCCTCTGTCTGACTGTCAAAAGAGTTCATGGCTGTCTCGTTGTCCTCCAGGTCCATCTGCAGCATCTCTAGCTGCACCTAATTAAATGGATAAAGAAAAACAAAACAACTCAGCACACTTCAGTGGAAGATCCTTTGAGATGGTGAGATTAACATAACATAGAACTCTTTTCACTCTGTGTATAAGAAGAGAACAGATATGTCAAAGGCCAAAACGTATAAAACCAAAGAAGACATTAGTAACCCACCTTGATTTTGTTCATGGCAACCACCTTCTCCTTTAGGAGATCAGAGGTTTTGGCCTGCTCTGCCTCTGCTTCATTCAGCTTCTGCTTCAGACTCTTTATCGTGTTGTCTCTTTCTTCCAAACCACGTGAAGCAGCAGACAGAGTCGTCTTCATGGTCTTGATCTCCTCCCGACGAGAACTTGATTCGGCTTTGGCAGCACTTATTGTTTTCTTCGCTGCATCAAGCTGCTCTTTAAGGCTTTTCTCTTTATTGACGTGATTTTCAATTTCTAAAGCACGGCTCTCTGACTCTTTACTCATCTTCTCCGTCAGATCTTTAATCTCTTTTTCCAAAGCAGAGATCAGGTCAGTTTTCGTGGCCAAGGTGTTCTCCAGGTTAGACTTGATTTCTTCTGTGGACGAGTGACTCTTCTCCAGAGCTTCTAGGGTCATTTTAAGGTCAGCATAAGACTGATTTACCACATCGAGGTCATTCTTCAAGACAGCAAGCTTCTCTGCTGCATCTTTGTTCGCTGCCATCTTTTCTTCTAAGGAAGAAACCTGATCCAGCAGGGTGTTGATCTTCTCAGTCTGACCACGCTGGAGGATCTGAAAAACACATTTTTGTTTGTTATTTCTAAGAGTCATAGTTGCAAATCCAAGACACAGAACACATACTAATAAACTAAATGACCAAAACACTACTGATTTAAAGAGTAAGTAAGTAGTATGTAGATAAATTAAACAATACAAAAGTTGTAATATTTTACCTCTGATTCCTTCTTTATTTCTTGAGCCAAAATTTGCAGCTCATCCTTTTGTTTCTCCGCAGACAGGATCTGAGCTTCAGCCTCTCTGAGCTGCTTCTCCGTCTCTTCTGTCTGGCTCCGCTGATCTTTCAGTTCCTTTTCTAACTGCTTCAGCTCTTCTGATTTCGTCTCGTACATCTTTTTCATTTCTTCTTCCCCATCCGACATCGTCTTAATTTGCTTCTGCAGCTCAGCTCCCAGTTGCTCCTGGACCTTCAGGAACTGCTCCATGGAACTGATCTGAAACATGAACAGAAAATCAAACGATGACTTTAAAAAAGGTAGAAAAATTATATACAGCATACATTTATGTAATGAACCACAAGAGGTCAATACATCAAATCGACCATTTTACAAAAATCTTTTTGTTTAACCTCTTAAGACGTAGCGTCCACATTTTAGGTTATATTACCACAGTAGTTATTTATTTTTATAATTTTATTGTTGTTTTTCATATATATTTTACTTTTCATTTTTAAAACACATTTTGATTTTCTTTATATTTTTTTTATTCTCTTTGCTATTTGATCAGATCAAATGGCAAAGATAAATAAAAATTAATATCAAACAAGAGCTTGGGTCTAAAGAGGTTAAAATACTCACCTAAGTGCCAAACAAAAAGATAAATAGTAATATATGATAGTAAAACCTAATTGTGATAGTTTTTAATAACTTGGATATCTTTCATCTTGAAAACAAGAAGCCTAGAATAACACTATCTAAGCGGTCATACAACTCCTTTCTGGCATAGCAGCAACAACTGAACATTATCATCTTCACAAATATTGTATTTATTACAAGACGATTTTTTTACATTTTATTTCTCAGGAAAAAAAAATTCTCATCTAATTAATTACTATTGCTCAACATTCTGCAATGCCATTTAATAGAAAACTTTTGCTTTAAGAACTGATTAACAAATTAACGTATCACATAAACAAGAAAAAAAGTGACTTCAGCTGTTAGGCAGAATGAACCATGAGCAGTCTGTGCTAAAGCTTCCACAGCAGTTTAACGTCATTAAATCAGACCTGGTTTTTGGTAAACAGCAGCTCTTGCTGGACCTCCTCCATCTGCAGCTTGATGTGTTCAGTCTCCTCCACCTTCGCTGAAACACTTTCCTCACACTGCTTTAGCAGGGCTGCCTTTTCCTCTGCCAGTCTACAAGAAATTAAAGATGAAAGACAGGAAATACATTTTAAAAGTGAGCTACACTGGGGACACACACCTGTACATCTGTAGTATAAAGATCACTGTGTCTTCATTCCAACTCATACAAAAACTGGGAAATATTGGGGCATTCCTAGATATTTTATTGTAGATATATTTATTATCCTTCAAAGTGTAGAATTTTAAGCAAGGCTACAAAATACTGTTGCAGAGTGAACAGCTCCCACCTGGCATTTTGCTCCTCCTGCTGTGCAGTGGCCTGTGTGAGACTTTCCCTCAGCTGGCTGATCTCAGCCTGGCCCAACTCTACCAGCTGGTCTTTAGAGCGCACCAGGTCGCAGGCTGCCTGGTGCTCCTCCTGCAGCTCCGTGTTTGTCCTTTCAGCAAACTCTGCCCGAGAAATTTCCTTTTGCAGCTGTAACTCCAGACCTTTGACCTGTTCAGATGAAAAACGAGCGCTAAGTCAATAAGGATAATTCAATAAGGGCTGATTATAAATGAAATCAATTCCTACTGATCGGTTTTAAATAAAAAAATAAAAAAAATTGCGGGCATTCTGTGCTGTTAGTGAGACAACAAGCTAAATAAAGACAAAGCAATTTAGTGATGCGAAGAGGTGATTTATCAACACACTGAGTTTAAAATCGAGATCAAACATCAAATGCGAGATCTTCAACATTTTAAACATGTTCTTAGGGATCACTGGTCACACATGATAGAGCCTCACACAAGACTAAGACTCCGTTTTCATGAGAGACTATCTTGGAGACCATTCAAGGTGTTATTGTGGAAATAAACATGATAAGTCACCTGTGCTTCAAGCTGAGCCACCTGCACGCCAACATTCTCCAGGTCTTTGGTGTGCTTCTGTCCAGCCTCAGAGAACTGAGACTGAAGCTCTTTGTACTGATGCTCTTTCTCTTCCAACTCCATGCTCTTGTTGAGGAGTTCTCCTTTCAAGGAATCAATGTGAGACGAGAGATTGGCCTTTTCTCCCTCTGCACATGTGAGCTTCTTCTGCAATGATGAAAGGAAACAGATTCAGGGTGAGGGTGAGTCTACTTAAAGGCTATGATTGTTATTTGGTTTTAAATCCTGATATTATATATATTTTTGAATTTCCCTTCTGGGATGAATAAAGTATTTTTCATTTCATTTTCATTTCATATATTTCTCATTTTAGTGCCTTTTGACAAATTTCTGAAAAGTTAAAAAGAACAGAAAAAAGCAACATATATTTTCAAACGTTCTTGCATCAGCCTACAGCATCTCTAATCTGAAGTGTAATTAATGATCATTAACAGTATTATACAACACATCCTAGAATGTACAGGAATACATGAAATTACTATTTACAGATGCTTTTTAAGAATCAAACAATAATTTAAAAAATAGTGTTTGTACTGTCAGGGTTTTTAGATTCAAAGCCTTGTGAGTCCTTATGATTTGATTGAAGTCTAACCAGGTAATGACGCGTTGAGACCTTTTCAATTAGTCACATTTACTTATTTTCACTTAAAACTATTTTAAAAAGTACAATGCATCCAAACAATTGCATAAAACTGTATGGAAATGGTTTCACTTTACCTGAAGTTCACCATTAGCTTCATTCAGAGAGCTGAGACGACTCTCCAAGTCGTTAATTTTGTCAGTGAGCTCCTTTTGCACAGCTTCGGTTTCATTAATTAAGGTCTCCTTCTCTGTCTTCCATTCCAGCAGAGCTTGATGGTCTTGTTTCAGTTTCGTGCACTCATTCTGGCTCGCAGTGAGATTGGATTTCAGCTCTTGACTCTCCTTCTCCAGGACTGTCAACCTGTTGCTCAGCCTCTCTGTCTCTTGTTTCTGTTTCTGGAGTTCATTCTGAGATCTGCAGAGCAACAAAATATTTACAATGATTAAGAAGCAAATTCAGTAAGAGATAGAATATCCTCTTTACTCCCTTAAAGTGTGAGTAACCTCATGTTTTCGTACAGCAAAATTATGTTTAACCTGTCATTTTTGGTCTCTGCATCAGAAAGTGTTTTCTTCAAGTTTTCCAGCTCTCGAGCTGAAGCCTGCGTCTGCTGTTCCAGTTTAGACTGAAGTCTCTTCAGCTCTTCTGCCTGTCCTTCTGATTTTGCTAAAGTCCCAAAAGACAAATCAGTTAAACACTAAGATAACTCAGGTAATTCTTTAAAATAACTGCTACCTGTGCTAATGCCATTTCCATCACTAACTTACCTTTGAGATCATCCAGCAGTCCCTGTGTGCGTTTGAAGCTCTGTTCTGAGCTCTTCTTCTCTTCTTCCAGTTGAGTCAGGCGCCTGTTACACTGGTCTAACTGGACAGTCACGCTGTTCTTCTCTTTCTGCAGCTCCTGGATGGACGAGGAAGAGGATACAAGTCAAAGTTAAATCAGCAGACATGCTCATTGTCAGCTCACCCTTACAGAAAATGCGTTTTCATCAAAATGCAACCCACCTCCATCTTCTTGCGGAGATCCTGCTCTTTGGTCTGGCTGGCCTGCAGGCTTTGCTCTGAACGCAACAGTCTCTGTTTCTGCTCCTCCATCTCTTTCTCCACCTGACCCTTCTGGACGCACATCTGGACAGAAGCAGGTGTGACAGTACAAATGCCTTAATGTGTATTTTGTAGGATAAAACTCTGTTTTAACATGCCAGCTGCTGACATGCTGTATGTAAACTGATATTGTTGATGTTGTAGCCGTGCTCTTGACAGTAAACTGCATAACATTGGGAAACTTTGAAACTGTGGAAAGCAATGTAAAAGCCTCCAACATTTCTATGCATTTTAAACTGCTTTACAGAACTGGTTTGCGCCTTCACACGCTGAGGGTTCAGTGGCTTGTCCCCCAAGTTGATGCCTGCATGAAGCTAGAAAGAATAAAGCAGAAGGAGGAAGAGCAGAGGTAGTGATGTTACAAAGCTACCTTCTCCATGTCAGCCTGCAGGACGTTGTTGTCTTTTTTGGACTGTTGTATCTCTTGTGTCAGCTTGGTTCTGGTCTGGTTCAGCTGCTGATCCAAAGCCTGATGTGAACTCTGCAGCTGGGCAAGTTCCTACACAAACAAAACATTTGCATTAATATTTTTAATATTTAATGAAACCTAAAAACATTAGAAGCCTAATGATCATATGACTCCACACGGTTGCACCTTCTGACTGTCTCTCTCTTGGTCCTTGAGTTTCTGCTCCAGGGCTCGTTTGCAGCTTTCAGCGTTGTGCCTCTGACAGCTCATCTCCTCTGTGACTTGTTTAAGCTTCTGCTCAACTGAAGAACACTGACAACAACCCAGAACAACATCTTAGTCATCTTGCCAGCCACTGACAGGTTTCCTTAACCTTTTAACCATCTTTTCTCCTGTGAAATACGCATCCAAGCAGATATTTAAAAGAAATTTAAATAAATTCCTACCTTGGCTTCAACCTGCTGGTGTCTGTCTGTGGCCTGACTCAGCTCATGTTTAGTCTTGGCCAGGTCTCTGTCCCGTTCACTAAGGTCTTTGCGGGCCTGATTCAGTTGAGTTTGTAGTTCTTGCAGTTTGGAAGCCTGGTTACGAATTTCCTTCTCCTGATTAGACAGATTCCTCTCCAGCTCTGACACACGACCACGCAGCTCTGATGAAGTAAGAGAAAAATGTTAAACCCTGTTGCTTTATACATGCTGGATGTCTAACAGTTAGCATGAACAAAACTAAACACATTTCAGGAACTTTACATAATATTTCACTAATAAATGCTAAGACTGTCTATCATATTAATTACAAAAAAAAATAATAACAATCCACCTTGATTGAGAGTCTTTAGCTGCTCCATCTGTTGGGAGGATCCACTGGGACTCTGCACTGGTATGGAGCAGCTCATCCGCTGGTTGGGCTTGATTGGTGTCTCTTCGTGGGCGTCCCACAGGGATGCCCCTCGCCTCTTCAAAGGCGTCTCCAATGCACCCTGAGATTGTCGACTGTGGGCCTGATCCTGCTGTTGCCATGGGAATATGGAGGACCCAGCCTGGCGGGCAGCAATGTCCTTGTGGCTTACACTGACTGATGACTGACTCAGCAGCTAAAAGAGAAGAGACAAGGTAAAACCACTGAGAAACAAACACACACAATAATGCATTTAAAATATGTATGTATATATAAATAATGTACTTACTTTGACCTGCAAGACTTTCAGTTCTGTCTCCAGTCTTTTTCTTTCTTCTACCTCCTGGTTGTATTTCTCCTGAAGCTCCTCAAGTCTATTATCTATAAAACATATGCACAAATTACATGTCTGGGTACAATAAAAACTTCACTGAGACAACACTGGCTGTTAAGTAGAACAGAAGCAAATGCAGTTGACAACAATCTCACTGACGTATGTAAACAGCACCATGACATATAAGCACACAACTGTACACCAACAATATGGGTAAAACAAAATGAAATATATGGGACCAATACATTTTGACTATAATACATCCATCCATCCATCCATCTTCTCCCGCTTATCCGGGGTCGGGTCGCGGAGGCAGCAGCCTGAGCAGAGCCGCCCAGACTTCCCGATCCGCACACTGACTATAATATTTTCTTAAATATGCACACACAAAACTAACTATGATTTAATGCACAAACAATTACCCTGCTGTCTGTAGGCTTGGACGGGTGCTGGAGTAGCAAAACTCTTCTGTGGAGTTGTGTAGGGCTGCAGGTCAACTGAGGAGGACGATAAGGAGGCTGAGCCGGCAGGCTGAGAACGATCTAGTTCATTTTTGTACCTTGACAGACAAACAAAAAAACAAACAAACAAACATGCATCACCCGTCATTCAAGATTTAGGACTTAAAATCTCTAATTCTAGTCATCATTAAGTCAAACACTAAGCATCACTTAACATAGTAATAAATCACTGAAGCTGATTTATAAGTGCACCCACTCTTTTCCATACACACAACTGAACTCACTTCTTAAGCTCCTGCTCCAGTCGCTCTATGGTCTTCCTGCAGGAGTTAAGCTGACCCTCCAGGTAGCTCACCTACGTCCAGAAAGAGGACTTAGTTAGAATGGCAATAAGTTTGAATTTCATGTTAATTCCAGATATGTGTACACTTGACCCCATTTACATTTGTACATGTCATCATAGCATGTGATTGTGTAGATGAGAATAAGTTCTTTAGGTGTAAAAGCTGTACACAGACAGATACTTTTTTTTTTTATAGATAGAAAATATGGTATTTTTCTTTTTCCAGTACATTTCAGTCAATGGGCTTGAAGCAGCAAGATATGTTTATTTCTCTCACATCAGACACTAACCTGCTGCTCTTTGACTCCGAGGTCATGAGAGGCCTTTTGGCGAGCTTTCTCCACGGAGTCACATGACTCTACTAAAGACTGGTTTTCTCTTTTCAAAGAAGAGATCTCTGACCGTTCACTGTCCACCTGGAGAAGGAAACATTTGATTAACAGAGTCATGTCTGTAGGATACTTGAAATATTTTGTGCACATATGTATTTTCTCCTCGTGGAATTTCCATCATTTGTTCAGGCAGCAGCAAGTTTCCAAAGGGACTTAATGGAGTTCTATTTATCCAAACACATTAGAATTCTGAGTTGATTCAATTATTCCTAATAAATGCTGACCTTTTGTTTCTGTTTCTGCAGGGCAGCTTCTAAGGAGTCCAGCTGAAACTGCTTCTGTGACCTCTCCTTCTTCAGCTTGTCCAGCTGGACTTCCATCTCCTGGATCTTCTGCAGGGCTTTCCCTGGAAGTCCATCCTTCCACTCCTCCACCGCCCAGCTCATGGTTTATAACCTGACTGAACACACACACATTTTATTGACCTTACAGCATGAAGGTGAACACAATGACAATATGCAGATCAACAATAAGAAACATTGGGGTAACCACCGAGTTCTCTACGTATTGCCATGTGATAAGAACAACACAATGCGCAGGTTGAGCTCAAAGGAAGTTGCTTTAAAATACTTGAAGTGATTTAGACTTTTCTTTTTGTTACAGTGCAATGCCATCATGTTGACGTATAACGTATAGGTGAACGTAAAGTTAAATAAATAATGTTTAGGGGGAAATGACAACATCAACAAAGTTTGTTTACATGCCTTGCCTGGTTTTAATTGCACTACGGCCAAGCTTTGGTTGTAAGAAGACGCTGTAAGTAAACAAACGTTAACGGAAACGTTGAGTTTACCGTTAGTTGAATTAATCGGTCATCCGCTCGGCCATTATGCGGCACTGCTGCGATGTTAGCGCAGATTAGCTAGCTACGTGGGTACTGTTGTTTGCTAAAGTCGATAATTAACCTGCAGCATTAACCATTTCCTATTCATTTTAATAAATAACTAACTAGCACACATGTGAAGTATGAATAAAAGTAACTTCAACTTAAAGTGGAACACCAAGAACCACTACATACCGTTTTTGTTAGACTTAACGACAATTCCGCTGAGCTGAACACGCTTTTAGCAAAGTTAGCCATTGAATTTATCCAAAATGTGCCAGTCTGAGGTTGAAGGTTACAACAAGTGTTTGGAAATGACACATGTGCTAAAATTAACTTGAATAAAGGCAAAGTTTGGCTGCACTTACTTTGGGCGCGACGCTTCTTAACCAGGCTCCTGAACTGTCCGAGTTTGTTCTGTTGGAAAATTCAAACTGCAGCGGAGGAAGCCGCAGCCACTCAGCTGGACGCCCATTGGCTAGCTGGTGTTACGTCAGTGAGAAACCGCACATGATTGGCTTATACCTGTTCCTGCCTCCACAGTGCCCCCATGTGGTGTGAGCTCATAAACACTCCTGACACACAGGACGTCACGTATCGTTGTCCTCAAATGTATTCACACCCTTCCATTAAACAAAAGGAAAAAATCACAATAGTCACTCAAACAACAAGAAACTGAAAAAAGTAAGAATAAATAAAAATTTGCTAAATTATAATTTAGCTAAATTAAACATTGCTTTGAATTGTGGCAAAAAAAAAAAGAATTTTTAAAACTGTCCCTGACAAATTAGAGCACTTTGCTGATGAGCAGTGGGCCAAAATCAAAATACCTGTCAACAGGTGCAGAAATCTGATTGAGAGTTACAGAAAACACTTGATTGCAGTGATTGGCTCAAAGGGTTGTTCAACAAAATATTAGTTTACGGGTCCCATCATGCTTGTTTATTTGTTCATTTGTTTTTATTCTGTTGAACCACAATTCTAAAGCAATGTCATGATTTTCATTATGTTTTTATTTATTATTACTTTTGTCAGTTTCAACTTATTTCAGTGACAGCTGTGTTTTTCCTTCTTTCACAAGAGGGTATGAATACATTTGAGGATGACTGCATTCTTATTGTGATTCTTGTCTGCCAGATGTGAACACAAGAATATTAAAGCTGGGAAGACAAGCTCACGAGCAAGCAATGTGAAATACTGCATTTTATTTTGCATCTAAAATATTTAAGATAACTGCTATTTAAGGATATAGTTATTTCATTCACGTGGGTTTCCCTGCCGTGATGCCCTTACAGAATAGAAATCCAAGTCAGTCACTGAGAACTTGCTTTAAAAAAAAAACCAAAAAAAATGTGTCTGCAGCCCTGAAGCCACATGATCAGGAAACACAGCTTGAGACCAATAACTGAAAAACTGGTAAGCCATTGCAGTCACAGAAAACATCCTATGCAAATTTCAGTTGATCAAATATACAGCAAAGCAAGTGCCATACTGTCATTTATTGAGTTCCACTGACAAAGTACAGAAAGAACCAGAGGCTCAGATTTTAGTAATGCATTCCAACAGAACAACATTCATGCCTGATAAAGTTAACAGTTCATTACAGAAACAGAAAACATGTTGTAGGTGGCCTTTCAGTTACTCTTCGCCTGGTTTACATGCAGCATGACTATGGATTTCACTGTTTAAACACGAGTGCCACAGGTTTTATCTTTGAAGACATCACAGAAAATATATATATATGTATATGTTGTGTATTTTCCTCGTGTCTGACCAGAACCTAAATACACTGCTCAAATCTGGCCAACAGAGGGTTTAGATGTTTTTTTGGTTGGTGCCAACCAGCCTTTAAACTCTCTTTGCATTGTGTGTTTCCATTTTACAGAAACACACAAAAATGTACACGTGGAACAAAGTTGCTGAACTGGTGCTTTTGGATTACCTAGGCAAAGCTGTAAGGCAGGCACCTTCTAGATGCATTTTTTTTTTTTTGCAGGTGACAAAAAGAGTCACATATGCAGGAGTTGCTACAAATATGACCACAGGCAACTCATCACATTCGGTTATTTCTAACCGCCAGAAAGCCACGTTTATGTGGTGCATTAAACTGCTTCTATAGTAAACAGGTTGGAGAGGCTACAGGCATGTAATAAGAATAAAGGAATTCGATCTGTGACTTTAGTTTCTCTGGCAGTGCAAAGTAAACACTGCAGCCAGGCCAACTATCCACTCAGAAACTGTTCAAATGAAACAAAATGTGCTTATAGGTTTTCCATTTCGACATCATTATGTCACAAAAATTGTACAAAATTGGAGTGCAACAGGAACCCTTCCATAAGGCCCAGGTGATGATCTCTGCATTACTTTAACTTAGCTTTTTAAATGCTTGCTCACACACTGCAAGGGCCAGATTTAACTCAGCATCAACAAAGTCCAGTCGCCTGGTATTTCTGTATGATTTCATCAAATCTTCAGGAGAAATACAGTTCAATGACCTTTAATTTTATTGTGATTTGAGGGTGAGGGCTGGGGTCAGTTAAAACTGTAAACCACAGACAACACTTCCAGCATGAATGACCAACCCTGCTGTCAACAGGTGTTTTCTTTTTCTAACAGCCACACAGATTTTTTTTTCTCCTGCTGAAGGTAATGCTTCTTCAAAAAGCTGAATTGTTAATACAGTTTCCTGTATTTTAAATTACATCAGTGTATTCAAATTACAAGAGTGCAAAAATGTACTTCACACTGAAGCAGAGATTAAAGGGAGATGCAATTACAAATTGCAAAAACAAATATATCATTCTCGTAACCTATAAATAGAAGGTTTCTGGTGAGGACGACACTCCTCGAACTCTTATTAACAGTTGTATGCAAAAGATGTATCCTATCAAGTTCGAGTGCATGTTAAAATCCTGCCCACAGCTGCTATGGTGACTTAATTCGCAGGGTAATGATGATCTGGATGCACAATGCTTCTGAGAAAACACCAAAAAGGTACGATAATGTTGATCTTGGCAAAAGGCAACAAAAGCTACAGTGTTGCCCCTTTTATTCCTGAGAGCGAAGGGGCTCTGATCCAGGATCATCAGTAAGTGACAGGACCAATGTCTTCACTGCGACTTAAGAGGCAAACTGGTCTCAATTCAGCACCCCTGGTTAAGGATACACTGTGAGTAGACAGAATAGCTGGTTCCTTGTCAGTTAAACCCGTGGCCCATTTGGTCAACAAGCCTCATGTGAAAAACACGAAACAAAACACACATACAAACAGAAACAGTCAAACATGCAACACTTTCTGGTTCCTTTAAACAAGCGAAACATACCGTAAGACAAGCCAATAAAACTACTCGTTATTCATTCAGGAATACTTTGTTGCATTCTCTTCTCTGCTGCTACAGAGTGCCTGGTGCATGGTCAGTCGTAGTTTTTTTTTTTTCTTTTTCACAGTTTAAACAAAGAATCAGTGAAGTCAGAAACTCTGCTGCGGAATATTTGATAGAGTTAAAATGCATTGGCTGTAAATAAGTAGTAATGCCCTCTGTAACAACTACTCACCAGTTTGCACTGATTTTTAAATCATGAACAACTGCTCTGGAGCAACACTGTGCAGCCAAAGACATACATGATGGTGAAACGGCCTGTTTAGGGGTCGACAAACACACAGTGAATGATTACAGACTCATCAGGAAAGAAAAACAGGGCCAAAATGTCACTTCAGAAAATTAAGCTATCACATGAAAGCTTTGGTGCTTCTGAAAGGCAGCTTGAAAGGTTTTCTTTTCCCCACTCGTGCTTCTTTTTTTTTCCCTAATTACAGCATGGGTTAACTGAGCTTCAGCATAAACCAACCAACATTTTCAAATGATGCTCAAGGTCACAACAAGAGAAATATTTCAGATGCTTCTTTTTTTTTTTCATTCCAAAAAAATGTACCTCTAATTTGTCTGTATTGAGGAGCAGGTCTGACAGAAAGTTGGCTGCTGCAGATACAAAATGTGGTCATCCTCAGCCAGAAAATGTTGACAGTAGACATGTAAAAGAAACTGCCCAAAGAGAGGCAGACAGAACGACAAAGTAGGAACAAAAAAAAGTTTTTTAAAAAACTGAGAGGTATAAGATGCATGCCATGCATTTTGTATGTGTATTTTGTTGTTGCTTTTAGAGAGGTTTGTCACTCTGGAGTGTCTCTCTTGAATCTTTTTGCTCCTTCAGCTCCACTTTCTTTAAAAGGTGCTCCTCCTCTTTTTTTTTTTTTTTACTTCTGTTCTTCGATTTCTCGTTTGACCTCTGCTACATAATGGTGATCTTTTCCGTGAGCTACCTCCATGATGGCAATAGCCTGCGGACAGAAAAACAACTGTGTTTTCCAAACAATTCAGAGAAACTCAGGCCGTGGCAGTTGATCAAATTATCAGTGCATGATGTGGTTACATCCTAATACAATAATTCAGTTCAGGAAACTAAACTTAGATCAGTTCAGTTATGAAAATATGAACCTCATGACATGTACAACCACTCAATTAGCTGAACTAACGGACTTCTTAAAGTTGTCAGTTTCCTCTACCTCCCATTGCTACCAGTCAATCTACCAATGGATCAGACATCTTAAAATTTACCTTCTTCAGAGCTTTGACTCCTTGTGTCTTCTTTTCAAGTCCCAAATACAGACGCCCCAGTTTCAAATACATAGACGCCACATTCAGAGAATAGGCTGGATAGTGTACACTGCAGAGAGAAAACCATTCACACATCAAGTCAGGCAGTGAATTCAAGAGATAAGGAGATGTAATCTATAATTACTGTTGCATTTGGTTTTGTTGTACTGCTGTAAAAAAAAAAAAATCAGAACATACCAAGCTGGGAGAACACAATAATAAAAGATAAAACATATGCTGGAGTAGATGTGGCTGAATGTTGTTTACCACAGAGGGGAAACGTATTCAGTGTTATCAAGCCTGAGTGAGCACTACAGAGACCTAATATAATACGTGCTATAGTGGGTGTATTGTAGGTATGAAATGAACTCAACATGGGAAATAGAAGTTAGATTATATTTTGTAAAAGTATGAAGTCAATAAAATATATTTTATCCTGAGCCATAACAAAAAACTCATAGAGATCAGGATATTCTTACGACAAAACTGAGAAGGAGGAAATCAATAATATTTGCATATGAAAGGCCCTTTCTCGAAAAGAAAAACATCTTCTTGTTCTTCTGTGCAAGTATTGAAACTTTTTGCGGTCTGATTATATTGTGTTGCAGTTTGAATACGGCCCGGTGTGTCTACATGCCCTTAAATATCTCCAAACCAATGCATACGTGAAGAGACAAAATGTTTGACTAAATGAGATTAAATGCTTCCTGACAGATTGAGAGATCACCAGGTACTCAGCTCAACCACACAGCTTTTTCATCCACTTCTGTTTGGGGATTGTCAGACCACAATGCTGCTGTGCAACTGACTGAGCACATGAATCTGCATGACAGCTTCCCCACGACAGATCAATTTACCTGTACGGCTGGATGATCTTCTCTCCGTAGCTCATAGCGCCGTCCCAGTCCTGCATGTAGAGACAGACGCCCATGGCCTGATACATCATGTGCAGCATGTAGACGTTGGTGTCTGCAAAAATAGCTCCCATCTTCTCCTGGCTGAGCTCACACATTTCCAGCAGCTCGCTGGGGGGTGCAAGAGAGTCAAGGAATAATGATGCAGACAATGCAGCAAAAGAAGAGGAGGCGGGGAAGTGAAAGGTTTTCACTGATAAACAGAGAGATGGGAAATACACCATCAAGAGGAGAGGATATTTTTGTAGTGTTTGGCTCTCCTAAACTCTTCGATGACATTCTTGGCGTAACGGACCATGGATCTGATTTCCTCTGGCTCTGGTGGAGAACTCAGCTTCCTAATCTCCATTTTTTCTGTGTCCTAGGCAGAGACAGAAAAAAAAAAAAAAAACACTCTTATGCCAACATATTCTACCAATATAGCTGCAAGAGGTTCAAGTTAAACAGCTACAGCATCACAGAGATTTAAAAATCTTCACTATAAGACTACACCATCACTAGCTGTGTCTGTGCTTCTGAACAGGTTCTAACTCTGTTGTGGGTTCACTCTGGAGAAACAACTAAATTAGATACCTCAAATATGTCCTGCTCCTCACTCTATTGGCTTCATTTTTGATTACTGTGCTGATTCATCATTTCACCATGCAATGCACAACGTAAGCTGCTTGAAGCTGGAAATGATGAGAAACTACTAACCAAGACAATTCCACGAAGAGCTCTGAAAACAAGGATTCCATTTTCAAAGCACTTCCTAAATCCTCGCTGTATAAGTTTCCAAATGCACAATTAGCTTTTCTGACGTTGAAATGATATAAAGCATCCGTTGCCATATGTCTACTGTGATTTTTCTGCTGAACAGATTTGCACATACAACCGGCAGATGAAAGGCACAGCTACTCAGAATGTCTGACAGTGTCGGGTACTGTTTGAAACAAAGGGAGGCACAAACAGAGACAACACAAACACTGGCTGTAATGTCGGCACAGAGGAGGCCGCAGTCACGATCCTCAAACAGACGAAAGAGACTGAATACGCTTTCTAGGATATTCGTCAAATTAACAAAGCAAAAAGGTAGCAACGCAATTACTCTCAAGTTCCAGGAAGATGCGTCAACTGTACCTTCGACTTGGTGGTGCACTCTGTACACTGGCATGTGAAGAAGTAGGAATCTAACAACCTCTCTTTCCTGTCCTCTGTAGGATAGAGCAGGTCGATGTAACTGTTAAAGATCTGCAAAAAGAGACACATATGAGAAAGTTAAAAAAAAGTCATATAACCAGCCCGGGCCATCTATTTTCCTGTAATTGTATCTGGCTTCATAATGCCTGCGTTTCCTTACCTCCTCTCCTGGGTTTATCTCTTTAACAGCTCTGACCTCAGCCACTGTGCCTTTATAGGTCACTATGACATTAGGGCTACAGCTGTGATTCATCAGTGCTACACTGGAAAGAAGGGGAAAAAAAAGAGAAGAGGTGAGCTGTGAAATCAAAGAATAACAATAAAACACTGCATTTAACAGCTTAATCATGTTGGGATTGCAGCCCTTTGGTGGTTACTTAGAGCACTGAGCAAAGATTTTAGATGCTACAAGTGAGGATGCTTCCAACAATATTTCCATGAATCATTTTCTGTTTTTTAGTGACCTTCAAACTAGGTGCAGTAAATGGAAAAACAGCACCAATTCTCCAAAACAGACTTTTTCACAGTTTTCAAGGTACTCTGAGACTGATAAGATGCCTCCTGATGGGACTGCATGCTGAATAAGAATCCAAACATCTTAAGTGTCTCTAACATTTGCATAATACACAGGATATAATAAGCAGTTAAAGACTAAAATAATTAAGCAAAGAGATAAACACACTGAAATGACACTGTACTAAACACTGTAGGGAAGAGGAAGTGGCACTAAAGAGGAGGGATGAGTGTGCATATAAGGGGACATTCAGAGGAGTGACAGAAGAATGATTATTTGAGTTAATCTGTTAAACTGTTGCATATCCCATTGTTTCCTGCTTTACTCACATAGTGCACAAAATTGATGGACTGTTGAATGGTGACGATGTGCAACTTACTCAGGAAAAACAGCAGAGCCCAGATGGGAGAGCTCCTCGTCCTCTATGGTAAAGCCATTACAGTTAACCTGGAGACAAAAGAAACATGAAACAAGGAGGGACAGACAAAGAGAGAAGGAAAGACACAAACAAACCGGCAGGGACAGCAAACAGCAGGGTTGAGTAATACGATAAAACAACTTGCATCACCCTCTACTCTACAGCGCTGTGACTCCCCCCCTCCACTGAGGGGGAGGAAATCCGGTAGTGGAGATTAAATGTAGCTGTGTGACAAGAAGCCAAAGGGGTTGCTTCCATTCATGTAGTGTGAAGGGAAAGGAGGCGGCGGCACTGCCAGACAGATCAAATTAAAGGGCTAAAAGCTGTAGAGTTAAACAGACAGCACCCAGTTGGTGTGTGATACCGATCCTGGTTGCAGCTAACATGTGCTCCTGCATGTGTCTGTCTGCGAACAAATGCAGGTCAGCAAGGAATAAAGATCAGGGTGAAAAATGAAGACCGTAGACATTAACATGTAAACGTACATTTCTACACTGTGCATGTAAATGTTTTGTGTACGGATTAGTGTATGTTGCAACCTGGCATGTCCTTCTACAAAAAGCTAAAAGAAATCTCATGGCAGTAACAAAACACACTTAAATAAAGATCCTGACTCTTTCTAGGAGGAGGCCTTTAATCTACTGATTTAAAGCTAGTGTTTAAAAAAAGCCTGGCTGAGGATTTATTAGGTGTTTGGGGGGGAACACCTCCACACAAACAAGAGACTAAAAGCAGCAAATCTTAAAATCCTTAAAATCTCTGCCTGCAGAGACTGATGCTGGCAAAAAGGACAGAGATAGTGGCTTAGGAACCTCCACTAAAGCATCCTCTGTTGTCTGGGAGTGGGTTTGTGTCCCAGTAGGAGCACAGCACCACCTGTCACGCTTACTGCTCACAGAAGCAGTCCAGAAATGGGGAGGCATCTACTCGTACATGGGTAGAAATAATAAGTCAGAGGTGTCCAGTGGACAAACAGTTATGGTACATCTCACACACTAGATCACTTCCCAGCCATGAGACATCTACTGTATTCACAAACGCCCCACTGTCCTCAATTAGACAACAGTGGTATACAGTGTAATACAGCAATAACACACCAAACCACAAGCCATTTAAAAACTATATGAGGCCTGAAAAGTGTTCATTGATGTACACAAACCACACCAGGGCCAGTCATACAAAGTGTAACTCAAAATAAACCGCCAAACAAGACTGAAAACATCTTGAGAACCACAGAATCTCCGGAGTACATTTTGATTACTATAGCACATGCAACTTCTGATCAAAGTGGTACCCAGAATTCACCTGTGCAAAGAGCTCCGTTAGAGCCTGTTCGTCAGGGAGGTCACTGATGTGTCTGGAGTAGAAGTGATGCAGCGCTGCTATGTCTGCCTGGTTCATCTCCTCCTTCTCACTGTCCATCTTGTCTAAATCTGTCAGATAAACACAGAAAAAAAAAGGACATAAGAGTGGGTGACTTGTAATGAACATGGTAATGGACCAGGTGTTGGAACTGAGACTCCAAAGGCAACAACCACAAACTCATTTAAATATTTCCCTTTAAACGTGACAACCAGCCATGTTAACAAAAAACACTGACACAGCGCTGTGCAGAGCGGTCTGGTTGCACCTCACTACCCTTCTGGGAGAGGAGAAACAAACATGGAGCATTTACACATAGGGAGGCGAACACTGTCATTAAAATATAGCAGGGCTGCCTTACTGCAAGATCAAAACTTGAAACTTTCACTGTGGTAGGTTGCTGCTCAGCAGTTGTTGTTGTTGTTGATGTTTGTTGATGGCGGAAAGGGACGAGAAAGCAGCTTGAAATGTGCGACCGATGGCAAACTTATACTCACAGCTCTACATCTGATGAGTCAGACGAAGAGCATAACGACACACTGAGTCAGTGGCACATGGCTATCTGTCAGCCATAATGAAGTTTGAATATTGCATTCACTAGTAATGAAAATTTCAAGGCCAACAGATGAGGTGAGTGATTAAGACATCAAGGTTACAGTATTCATCCAGAGTTTTATCAGTATGTTTTGTCATTGTTTGTTACCTGTACTATATTTATATTCTCCATACCCCTCTATGCTAGTGTAAAATCTACAACTGCTAAAGGCCACGTGTCTTTGCCAATCACACAAACTCTCGCCGACTCAGACTGGTGGCAGCAGCTGGCCGCTCGCTTGCTTTGTGTGCGCGAGAGACAGGTGTGAAGGTTAATTCTGTGACAATCCCGCGGTGACACATCTGAGCCGGCAACAACAGCTCAGACTAAATGATCACTCCAAATGGAGCAGAGAAAACAGTTTGTGGGCTCTCAGGGGATCCACAGTCTTGTTTTTTTAAATTAACTTACAGTGTTGGCAGCAACAGGAGCAGCTTCACTGGGCTTTTAGGATTTAATTTTAAGAAAACCTGAAAATCACGTATTAGTTGTTTACAGCATCTTTAAAAGAAGCACAGAAGAACTGTAGGAAACAGATAAATTGCTATAAGATGAACAGAGTTTCTTTGCTTTGTAATTATGAGCGGCAACAGAGTTGTGTTAAGCATGTCTTAGTACAATCAGTGTTAAAGTCCTTGCTCAAGGGCACAGTGGCAGTAGTTGTTAAAGGAGGGGAGAGAACATGAAATTACAGCACCCAGAAGCTTGGGATTTAAGTCCCAGTGCTCTGCACACTTGGAGTGAATGAAAGAGACAGAACCAGGACTGGAGGCTACAGCCGAGGATATTAATAGACACGCTGCTACAACTGCAGAGGCACAGCAAGATCACACTCACACACACTGCACCATGTAACTAAAAGAGCATGGATATGTAACTAAACGCTCTCTAATTCATACACACACACACACAGATCTACTCACGTGATTCAAACTCTTTGAGCAGCAGCAGTCTTTCTGAAGGGGTGCGCTCTGTTGTGACTCTCTGCAACGTGAAACGCAGTCAAGAGACATGAGAGCATTTTAATGAAGAACAATAAAATGACACAACAGCATGAAACAAACTAAATTCATCATGTCACAGATGGCTTTGTTGTTAAAAAATTTTGTGCCAATTAGTGATTAGAACACTACAATACAGCAGCTTTAAGCACAGCTGGATGACAGCAGTACTGACTTCAACAACGCTGACAGTAACAGAGAGCAACGCTTTGTTTGAACTCAACGGTAAAATTAAGATAAGCGTCTGATAAAACGTACAAGAGCAAAAACTAATTACACTTCTGACCTGCAAAAAGTGGATGGCAAAGAGGAGACACTTTTGCATGAGTTGTATCACACAACTCATGCAAAAGTATAGAAATTGAACTGATAAGAGGGAGGTCAACTTATTATCAAGACTTATTTGACTCTTTATCTCATTTAAGGTTCATTAAAAAGCTGTAAACTTTGCTCCTGTCCCATCTCAGAAGAAGCAGCCTGTTTTATCTCTTTGTAAATGCACTGATAAAACAGGTTTAACTATTACTTTCACCGTCTTCGTGTTATTACTGAAACAGAATCTGTTTTTCTTTCAGTTATCTAAAATGAAAGTAAAACAATCAACTGTTAATGTGCTAACAGTTGATTGTTTTCCTTTCATTTTAGATATGTTTTATTTGCTTTGTGACAAACATTACAGCAAAACGTGATGATGAAATTGTGCTTTCTTAGATTTTTGTGCACTTTGAGTCACAGTCATCTGGTAACATTTATTCTGCTTCTTATTGGTTCACCTGTTTCATGATGATTCTGGCCACCAGTCTGACGGTTTCCGACGGACACCAGTTTTCCCCGTAGGCACACATGGCTACACACTCCAGCTTATGCATGGGCCAATCACCTCTCTGCACAAATGCACACAGACGAAATCAGGAACGAGTTAATAATCCTTGTTAAAAAAAAAAAATTCTAAAAAAAGTAGAAATAAATAAACACAGTGGCAGATTGTCTCTCTCTCTCCCTCTTTGTCTGTATTTTACTGCAATGCACTGAGTGTGTTTTGTACCGTGACACTAAAACTAGACGGAGTCAGAGGGAGGACAGACCACATCGTCATAGCAACAGCAGTGAGCGTGTGCTCGCTCTGTCTCTGGGTGACGGCTGCACGGAGCTTGTTTGAAGTGGTTCTCAACATGTGGCCCAAGGTTACAACGTGGGTCAAGCGACCACTAAGTAGGTTCTTTAAACTACCTGGAGGTGGTATCAGAGATGTTACATGATCTTCTTTTGACAACACACACACTGTACAGCAGAGTAGACGCACTCAAACGGACTAAAGCTGACATGAGACAGTAAGTCATCAGCTACATTCTTGACAACACCAGTGAAGTGGTTTGGAGTCCATTCTCATGCCGTCTGTCCTCCTACATGACAACAGATAGCAGGAACAGGACCAAAACAAACAAGAATGCAGGCTTTTAAAAACATTTCACAGGATGTCTAATAAGGATATAATTTTAAAATGTGCAGAACCACATATCTTTTTAAATGAAAAAGTAAAATAGTGTTTTTAAGTAAAATCCAATCGATATCAGATCCTTGAGTTGATTTTAAAAACTGCCACACACACACACACACTCGCACAGAGAAACTACAGGAAAATGTACAAAAAGACCCTCTTACCTGACAGTCTACGTTGCAGTAGTAGGCCTGCTTACATTTACCACACTTAAAAAGGTCTTCTTTTCTGTAATGACATGAATACACAACACATTTATCCACTACTTTGTCACACTTGAATCCTACTTAAAGTGAACGAAATAATACAACAAGCACATTCGTCTGATGTGGGGTTAAGTTAAAACTCCTGCCAGATAGTCATTCTTTAACTGATGCTGAATGAGACAGGTTTACAAGTTTGTGTTAGACGTTACAAAAGGTGCACGTCACCAAATACTTTATTTTATTCATAACCTAGCAAAAAACCTACACACATCTCCGGCCCAGTTTCATGCAAAATGCAGTAAAGCAAAGTTGAACCAAGTAGTTTTTTTGACTGTAAAGGATCAAATCGTGAACGCTCAGGACCACCACCACCCCCCTGGCTGCACACATGCACCCCATGGCCTTCTCATCTCCAGACTCCTCCTCTCTTGGGACACATGGACACCTATATTTAGCACCATAACCTTTCAGTGCTGTGCAAAACCTTTTAATGGCAGCTTGGGTAGGAAGCATGTGGCTGTATGAAAGTGAGAGGGCGACGGTGTGACAGGACAGAGTTAATCTCACCTTAAGGAGACTCGTAAAGAGTGCCACAGTTACACTCTGAGAAGTTCACTTCATGTTTTTGACAGTGTGCGCCTACACACACCTACACATGACAGCACTGTGAATGCTGTAGGCTGTCTTTTCTAAACCACTCCACATCCTACACAGATATTACTGCAAGCATGCAAGTCATAGCAGAGCCTCATGTTGTTGAAACATCAGGTTTTTTAGGTGTCTGTATGCGAGGAACACGTGAAGCATGTCAGTGTGTCATAAATAGCTTGTCAAGTGCTCCTTTAGCTCAGCATGGCAGCATTGTTAGCCTTTTAATGACTGTAGTAGCATCTCATTAGCCTCATTAAGAGTATAGAAAAGCGGTTATTACACATGTTGGCTCTCCTGTGCTCCAGTGCTGGACTCTCCTGACTCTGCAGTGCTGCACACAGACACTGCAGCTCCGGTCAGGTGAGCCGCTTCAGCGCACTGACCCACTTTAAAGTCTGCACCAGCTCGGTGGGTGTCCAGAGGTTTACCAGCTAACCTAGCAAGGTAAGGAGGTTAGCCGACGTTCAGCCGGACACGCCGCCGCTCTGGTCCGCCTTCAACCACCGGGACAAAGCAGCAGCTCGTAGCTAAGTGACCCGGAGATGCCAGAGAGGTGCTGTTCGGCTGTTTGAGAGAGCCGAGGCTCACTTTACCTGGTGAAGCAGTGCTCACAGTGCGCTCCCCTCTCGTTCACTGTCAACACGTAGGAGTAGGCAGGGCAGGCGAACACCAGCTCCCCCACCGCGAAGTGCCGGAGCGCCCGCAGGCCCCGGCCTCTGTCCGGGCTCAGGAACCTCTCCGTGCCCTCTATGCCTTCGTTCTTCATGGCTTGTTGTGTGTACGCTCCTCCGGCCAGATACCACCGAGCACCACCTGTGTCTGCTGCTGGCTGCTCTAATCAGCTTGTGGCGGAGCTGCTTCTTCCTCCGCGGAGCTCCGTGTGTCCGGAGAGTCCGTCAGCGCCCCCTGCCGGAGAGGCGACACGGCGCCCCGCTGGACCACCGAGGGACGGGGAGGCGGTGAAGGAGAGAGATGAGGGGAGTTTAACTGTGTTTGCTATGAACCTTGGATGCTGTCTGGAGTTGACTTTCAAATGCGTGAAAATGCAATAAAAGGGAGATTTCACTGCACTTTTCGTATGCAGACCACATCAGACCAGGTCCAGATCCAGATTAGATTAGATTGAACTTCATTGATCCCTTTGGTACCTCTATAGTAGAAATGGTAAAACCACAGAAACTGTGTTTTAAAGACTCTTTGGTCTCTGTAGGACCATCTAGTCCAGAGTTTATCAGTCTATATATGGTGGAATTAGATCTGGATCTGGTCCAATGTGATCAGCTTATTAAGAAAAAACAACAACAACAACAACAAAACATACACTGGACACTACATAATATGTGCAATACCTTCTGAGGGTATTTGTTATTTAATATTTATTTATTTAATACAAAGTGCTTTCTTATACTTATCTTATTCTTATAATGTATAGATGTTTGTATATTCTTTATTTTTTTCCTACATTTAAAGCTGACTTGAGGAAATGCACAAAAAACTCTTATGTACTTACCACAGTAGTTAATTTTTTTAGTTGTTTAGATTTTTTTTATTATTTTACTATTTATAACTTAGTTTTTATTTTTATTCATTTTTATATTTTAAAAAATATTATATATATATTTATATTAGAATCTATTTTATTTTATTTATATTTTTTTAAATTATTTTTTATTCCTCTTTGCTATTTGACCAGATCAAAGAGAAGAGAAATAAAAAATGCATATCAAGCAAGAGCTTAGGTCTTAGGAGGTTAAGCAATTGTTTTCCTCTCTTGGGTAATGTAGTTGACAGCTAAATAGAACAATGATAAATAGACTAAATGTTTCACAAATTAGAAACTGTGGTTTAAAGAATCTTTCGCTTCTTTGGGACAATTGAGCCCAAATCTGCCATGTCTGTATTTAGCGGTTTTTGATCTGGACCTGGTCTAATAGGATGTTAACATGAAAAGAAGTTGAGAAATCTCCCGTTTTGCATTTTCACATATTAAGACATCATTCTCTCTGGTGTAGTTTGGTCCAGATTGCACTCATTATATTGTGGTTTTGAATGTG